CACTAGCACTAGGGCACAGTTGGATCCTATCCTATATTAGTTAAAAGCACATAAGTAATGTGTTCACTTTCTTAGCATTACACCAACTTACATCGTACTCAAGGTAGCTTAATTCAGGACTTTCTCCCAAGCATTGAACAGAAAAGACCTATAAGGTAAGACATTACTCCATGGTCTAGATGCGGAATGCCCTCATGCTTTTTACTCCGAAGAAACTACACTCAACACTTCTAACTTCATCTAATCATTTCCAAAAATAATAGGTCAGTCCTAATAAGGCTTGGCTGAAGGTCATGGAATATATCTTTCTTAATTGCCTGCAATTTCCTAAGAAATATTCTGAGGTTTCTTGGTACACAGGAAACACAGCCAGTCTCTTCAAAAATTGGCATTTTCAGTGAGAGTTGAATTGAAGAACACATGCTCTTGCTGTGAAAAAGATCTCAGTCTACCACTGCTAGAGCAAATGCCAATACAAGCAACCAATCAGAACCTCCTGTTCTGATCAGCCTGGGACAGCGGCTCTCTTGCTTCCTTGCCTTACCTAAACTTCAGTGTGAACTCAAAGTGCATCTTCAGGTACAACTTAGATTCATGGAAAAGCTCTACTAAGGGCATAATCTAACCCTCTGTCTAAGATGTAATTGGTATATCAGTGATGTAGATAGCCTGTTCACACACATCAAATAGATTAAACTTCTAGAAGGGTCCACATAGGAAAAATTCAATTTATCTTTCTTGAAAAAATAAGACCACTTAAAGATAGTCAACTGTACATCTGGTGATTTAATTCGGTTTGGTAATTCTTCATCTCACTCATTCAAGAGACACTGGCCACAGTTCTGAAATAGGGAAATACACCCTAGAGATGGGAGAAGGGCAAATCATTGACATTATATATCCTCTTGGGCCATGAAGTGACAGCACCTCTTATATATGATGTATAACAAACTTTGAGATGGAATGGGAAGAGGAGTTTTAAAAGGACATTGAGCAAGGAGAGGACATACAGCAAAGAGAGCCAACCATGGTTCTCCTAATGTCTAATAAAATGGGAAATCAGACATACAGTTGAACTGCACTGTACACAAAGTCAGGTTATTTCTTCATCCAATATTATACCTGCTAGTCCACATGCAAGTCTGAATGACAGCTTTCTGCTTTGATTATAGACATCTAGAACAGAAAATACAACCATCATTCCCAAGGATGTCTCATTTGTTCATCATATTGTACCACGGTGCTACATTAAAAGAGTGAGATCTGTCATCATGAATATGCCTTGACAGAAAGGTGTATACTATTGAGTGTTTTTTTTTTAAAGCCATTTCTCCCTAGGACATAGGCAGGCAGCTGCAACCTCAAGGCCACATGTCCCCCTCATACAGGTAGGGGAAGAGTGAAGGAGCAGGAGAGGGAAAGAGAGCGGGGAGTGTTGGAAGGCATATGTGGGGGTAATGCAAGCCATTACTTCAGACCACTGGCAAGGAGGAGGTAATGGTGGAGAGAAGTTTTCAAAGCTTTCCAGCTATGAAAAGGTGAGGAAGCCCACTGTAAATAATCTGTTCAAACCTCTGAAAAGAATGATCTGTCTTTCCCCTGGTCATCTGCTGGGTGGAAAAAATTAGAAAGTGTGAATAAAAGGCATAGCAGAAAGAGGGGGGAAAAGAATGGCAGAAAGAAAATGCATAAGCTTGCCCACCTTGGATTCTGACCTATTCACTTTGGCCTTCAGCCCTTTCCATCACCAGCATGTAGTCCTTCACAGAAAAAAAAGGTTCCTTGCACTGGCCCAAGAGGTATGTGTATGATACTATGCACACATGAAAAAACAGTGGAAGAGCATGGCAAAAATAAAACCAGCCATAGAGCTACAGCCATAATACAGTTGCAGAACATGGCAAGAAGTTCATCTGGTTTGTCACTGTATACAATCCATATGCAAATCCATATGTATAAAAAGGTGTCTAAAATGAGGATTTGCTTATCTAGAAATCAAAATTTTGACAACATTATTTTTATCCAAATGACCCATGGCAATTGAGAAGAGATAAAGCATTCAGAGACATTCCCTTGGAGAACTGTGAGAATCTCACAAAAGCATCCTGCACCACAGCAGCTAAGCAATTACAACTGCATTTTACAGAACAGAATGCAGAGGGAAAAGCAGGACAAGGAAATCTACAGCTGTGATTTTATTCCTCTTCTATTTGCATGCCAGTTCTTCCCAGTCAAGTTTCCTGCAACACAGCAGGCTGCCAATATTAAGGCAGCACTGGAAAGTCCTGCCTGGCAAATGCCAGCCAACAGAGACAGCAAGCTTATATATCCAAAGAAATACAAGCAGATCAGAACACAGTTATTTGCTGCAGTATGTAGTTTCTAATGATATTATCACAGTGAACGTTTTTCTTAAAATCAACATATGTTGATACATAATTTGTTGCAAAACACATTTCCAACAAAATTGTCCCAAGGAGTTTGATGTATCTTTTACAATACAACATCCCTGGATACCCAAGCACTAGATCCCTTGCTCCTTCAACTCTCTTTCTGGCATGCCAGCAACTCAACAACAGGACAGGCAGCAGAAAAATGTTTTTGAAGAGTGAGCAAATGTCAGCATCAAAAAGCAATAAATAAGTACAAGCCCAACTGTACAGGTTCTCCGGGGATGTTCTTGATTTGGGCTAAGATGTGTTGGTTACAAAAAGGGGATTTCCCTTCTTTAAATGTTTAACATCTGCAGGTTTTTGATGGATCTCCCTTTTGCTACAAGCTTCTGTAAGACAGAGACAAGGAGAAAGGGAGAGGGGAAGCTAAGGTTGAGGCATTTTTGGCTTTCCAATCCCCCTTCAGTGTGTGAAACAGGTGGGTAAACTTTACTGGCATTCATGTGAGTGTGGGTTTTATTTAAAAGGGACTGGGAGGGTGGAAGAGTAAAGTTGCTTCTATTGTTGAACAAAATCCAAGAGTAGTTTAGGACCACACATGGAGCTGGGGTTGTGCAGGGGGAGGAGGTGTGGAACGCTAAAGATCGCTGACAGTCATCACAGAGAAACATCTGCTCTTGGAAAGCTCCCAGGCTGCTTGCAAAAAATAAAAAAAAATTAAAATCACAGGGTGTGAAAACTCAGTGCAACCTGGTGTCGAATAAGAGGGGAGACTGCAATAGCAGGAGGCAGGCTAAGGCAGACCCCAGGCACTGTTCACATAAACTGATGGCAGAGAAGGGAGAAGGCATAGCATGCTGAACTTATTAATAACAAAGACATAATTTTTATCAAATGTTTCCAGTAGGAAATTAGGATTTGCTCCTGAGTGACCCCTTTTGCTTTTGGCTGTTTGCATTTAACCCGATTCCATTCTCAGCTAGGAAAAGAGTGTGACCCAAGTCAAACTTCAACTGACAGCTCTGTCATAGACAGTAATTATCCTCTCCTTCAGCACCACCCTTAGAAAGGTAATTTAGCATTTTAATATCAATAATGTAATGCACTAAGCAGGGCCCGGTGGCAAGAAAAACCATCTCCTTTGAGGTGGAAAAAAAGAATTTAATTACACTTGTCTGTGGAGGCATGTATTTTTACTGATAGAGATCTGGGCTACACACATAGTGAGACACTACACACAGGCACATACATGCAAAACAGCATGGAAAGACTGATACACACTCACGCACTCATGGGGAACAAGTTCATAGAAATCTCTCTCTTTAAAAAAATGGAGTGGAGAACTCTTTGGATTGCAGAAAAGTCTATTTCCCAATATTTGTTGCTTTTAAATCATAGTTCCTCACAGATTGAGCCAAGCATTATCAAACAGGCCTGAAACAAAAAAAGGAGCCTTGACAGGAAGTCATTCTAGATTGTAGTGGATCACCAATGACCCCTTTCTTACTGGAAAATGATTTGAAAGTACTGGATGAGTATTTTCTACTGCTGAAGCTAAACAGGTCTGGTGCTTGGATGGGAAACTGCATGGAAACCATATGCAAGCTGCTATAAGTTCCTCAGAGGAAGAACAGAATAAAATAAATAAATAAATATATCTTAGTATCTATGGATCTGCTTCCCCAAAACTCTGGAAACCACCAGTCAAGAATGTGATATATCCCATTCGTGAAACTGCCAAGAACGGAGCTGCCAGATACCTCTAAATCCAAGGCCAAGGCCACAGTCTTCAATGATGCAGAAGGAAAATATGAAAGACAACCTCATATTCTCCAGTTACTCTTATGCATATCTTGATAACCCATGAATCCATCTAAGGACTTAAATTATGGAACAAAAGCTTTCTATGTCTTGACATTTACAAACAATGCTCATCTTTTGCATATCGTATAGTGAAATAGCAAAGAATTATGTTTTGGACCCCTAAATAATGAAATGACTTGAAAACCACTGGAGGAACCCTTCTATTTGAAAGGATTTGCACAAGGCATAGACACATGCTCATCCAGCTCTCATTCATCTCAATGGAGCTTGCACAGAAGAAGCTCCCCATACCTTGATCCTCACAAAGGCTTTTTTTTTCTTTTTCTTTGCCAAGTGGCTTTGAATACTTTACAGTGTATTTAAAGGTCACATTTCCAAGCTTTTTACCACTTGTATAAAGCTTACAAACCCTGCTTTAATTATAGAAAAGCAGTTAACATGGGGATAGTCAAGATTTTAATACAAACCTTGAGGCCTTAGGAGTCCCTCAAACTGGAACAGACTTTTCATAGCCAAGTGAGTAGATTTACATTTGTTGCTTGGTACATGCCTCCAAGGAGACAAAGCGTGAAACCCAAGAAGCTACATACAAACCTGGATTTACATACGCATGAGCTTAGAGATGGAGCCCCTTGCCAACATCTCCTTTAAAAGGCTCTCCTGGAAGCAATGTCTCCCACTCACTGTGTTGGACAATTTCTTCAGCCACGTCCGCCCCCCCCCAAATGCCCCAAAACTTTATTTAGTCCTCTCAGCATTCACACCATCCAGGAAAGAACTTACCTTCCACCCAGAGCTGTTCAATATCCGTCTCAATGGAGGCTACTCGCAGCCCTACAGCCAGTGCCCCAAAGACCAGCAGCCCCACAAAGAGTACTTTGCCACAGTGGCGCTGGATCCAGCAGCCCAGTGTAAACAGCAGGGCCTGGAACTGGGCCCGCAACCACAGCGGGGCTTTCTGGCCCACAGCCTTACCCTGGGGAGAGAAAAGGAGAGTTAGCCAAGACACTTTTACTACAGGGAACATCAGCTTCCTAATGCAGGGAAACTAGCATCAGGGTGAAGGAAGACCTAATGCCTTGGAAGAAAGCATTCCAAGAAGACCTATTCACATTTTTTGTGGGGGAAGCACCATAACTCCAGAGTCTTCCCATCTGCTAGGAACCTGGAGAGGCCAATGTCTCCCCTCTTGCTGCTTCTCCTTCTACCAGCCTGCAGAGATTAACTAGGGACTGATGCCTCTCAACATGGGTGAATCCCTTACTCGTATTGTATTTGTATGTGTAGTCATATGCTGGATGTCCTTAGCCAAAGAGGAACAGGCCACTCTGAAGCGCATGCCTCCATGGAACAGTCACCCTTTCAGGACTCGCAGGACTCAGGCATAGGGAAAGCACTTCAAAGCAGGCTCGTCCTCTGCCTCTCCCAAAGTGAGGTCTGTTTCCTTCCTCAGTTCCAGTCGCACCCCTCACTTCTAGGGAAAACCTAACAGCTGACGCTCCCTTTTTGAAGGGAGTTTGCAAGGATTTTACAGCCACCACTTGATGTGTTAAGGAGCCCCAAGTTCAGCTCCCTGTTATATTCAGGGGGACAGGAAGATGTGAGGGGCATCCCGCCCCTTTCCTCAGGTGTGTCCTTTCGCCCTGTCATGCTTTCCAGCTGCGTCCCAGTCTGCACTGTCGCGCTCCTTCTTCCCAGTGTCCTTTCACCAAGCCATTACCCGAAGTACCGCTCCCCCTCCAATTCTTCTCGTTCCTGGACAAAAAGTCACACCAACGCCCAGACCCGAGTCCTACTCCGAAGCTCCCCGCATCCCCTCAAAGACCCGATCGCGGACAGGCCTCTCACAAGTTCCCCATTTACACCAATCTCTCCTGGACGGCTCTACCCTTTCAATAAACAAACCGCTGGAACCACGGAGCGGACTAAGTTGGAGCACGCATGCGAGAGCTGCCCGCCCCCTCCCTCCATACCCCACCTCAAAGAAGCGGAGGGCTTCCAGCCGGATTCGCCACCCCACAACCGTCTCCTCGCCCGGGCCAAAGGAGCCGCTTCGGGCTCCTGCCCCTTTGTGGCCGCTGCTTTGCGCGCCTCACTCCCCGTTGGATGGGATCACCCCAACCTTTCCCCACTCTCCCCCCACCCGTGGGAAAGCGCCGCCGCCCCCTCCTTCCCTCACCTTGGAGATCTGTTTGAGGGCAAAAGCAGCGTGGCAGTAGCTGGGTCTCCGAAGAAGATCCGAGTTGGCAGCAGCGGCTGCAGTCGCGTAAGACGGCGGGAGCTCTCTAAAGTAGCCCCCGGCCCCAGGGACCGGCCGCTCCGAAGCCATGCTCCGGGGTCGAACGAGGACGGCGCTGGGGGGAGGCAACGGGGCGCAGGCGGTTTCCCAAGAGCGGTAATCCAGGAGCGAGAAGCGTTGGCTCCGAGGCTTCAAAGTGGCTGCGGCTGCGGGTCTTCCATGCGCACATTATGGGGGCGAATCCGGGGCCATCCAAGCGCGCCCCATGCGCCCTTGGCGCCGCCCAGCGTGGCCCCTTCGCGACGCGCGGCAGGAGACGGCGATGGCAAGCTCACACAGCCCCCAGGAGTTGAGGCACCCGGGTGCCCGGCGGTGCAGTGCGCCTCGGATCCCGTCCCATCAACATTTGGAACAAACAGTCCCCTCCGAGATCCTGAAAAGAGAAGCAGGGGGGAGGAAGGTTTGGTTTGATGGGAAAGTGCCCCGGTTCCCATTGGCCGAGGAAGAGGCAAATTACTCCGCAAACATCTCCTATTATTAGCTGCTAAGCAACAGCTCACCAAAGTGGAGAGAGGAGAGACCACCCAGGCAGCACCTCCTCCTCCCCGCCTTAAATCAATGAGGGCAGAGGGAGGGAGAGCGAGAGCGAGAGTTGCCTTCAACACAGGAATTCTGCTCCACAGATTTTCAAACACTGCCCGTCGTTGCCCCCTCCCAGCTGCAACCTCCCCCTCGCCAATGCAAACGGGTTCCTTTATTTATGATTGCAAGCGGACATAGCGATGCGTCGGAACAGCTGCAAACTTTGCGGGGGGAAGCGAAGAACTCTGCAAAAGATTTGGGTGCGGGGAGAGAAAAGGAGCAAACCTTTTGGTTTAATGGAAGGTGGGAAGGGGAACATTGGTTGCTTTCAGGAAAAAGCTTATATGGATCCAATGAGTAGGAAACCCCAAATTGGCACTACTATCAGCAGTGGCACAAAAGAGAAAAATAACTTTTCTTATACAGTTGATGGTGGTGATTACTTTTTGAGCTGCTGGGGCTGCAATAAAAAGAAAACAAGCAAACAAAAAATGCTTTCTTCCCTACACCAGGAATTATGCAGATTTTAAAAATGAAACAGTTCCTTTAACCATGTACAGAGTGTCATGGTCTCCCAGTGAGAAATGTCAGTTATTCTTTACATAATCTAACCTGCTCCATGGTCCCAGTGGCTTAATGGAGAAATGGCTTCCATGTGAGCAGACATGGCAATGGAACTTCCAAACAAACTTGAGCTCCAACACCTGTCATTTAGAAAGTAAACCATGCCACCATGATACTTGAAATTATGATATTTTAGGGGATTCCATATACACCACTTGCCAAACATCAGGACAACAAATACCATCAAATACCCCACTCCACAAAATATACTCAGCCTCTCAAAACCAAAATTATGACTTCCCATAAAATCAGAATAACTCATTCATTCAACCACATGGACTAAGATAATGGTTTACACTAAGCCAAATTCTAGCAGCACTTTGAATTAAAACATTTTTTCAATTCATTGGCTTAGTAGTTGAAATGTGAAGCAATGTGCCTGACCATATACAAAGTAATCACCCCAAATAATCATGACCAAACTTCCTTTGTCAAAAATTAGGAAGAATATTTTCCAGATTTGGAAATGAGGGGGAAGGAGGACTTTTATTTAATTTAAATGCTGCTTTTCTGACAAAAAAGGCAAAAATGGTGACTAACAATAAAAGCTAGATTAAAAACAAGCTTTTAATTAAAATTTATTTTATTGATTTACAATTTTTTTTCAGGTGCCTTTAAGGGTAAAGCCTTTTCATATTACATACAAACAAATCAATAAAAGAAATAAGCAGCAACAACTACTTGAAATCCCTTCAGCAACAAGCTAGCTTATGCCAAAGGCCTGTTTGAGTAAGAAAATTTTTGCCTGCTGGCAGAAGGACAACATAGAGGGAACCAACCTAGCCTTCCTTGGCAGAGAGTTTTTGAAACTAGGACCAACTACTGAAAGGTCCTCTCCAATGTCCCCATTAAATGTTCTTCTGATGGAGGTGCTACTGAAAGAAGTTCCTCTCAAGAAGATCTTAAAACCCAGATAGGCTTGTCTAGAATAGGGTTCAATAGCATTCATTGACAAACCCTTAAGCAAACCAACAAGAAAGCTAGGCAACTCAAAGAATGTGATCTGGTCCAGTTGTTAAGCCACACCAATATGGTGTGTTGTGGCATATAACAAAAGACATTGCAAAGACAAAAACTGTGGCTTATTGTGCATCCAAACCTGGTAAAATGTGTGTGGACTGATGTCATGGCTAATAAACCCCAAGCCAAAGACAGCCCATGGTTGTGGGTGGTTTATTAATCATGGCAATAACCCACCTTCATTGGGGGTTGTATGTCATGGCAAACAGCAACATCCACCCACTTGGTCTAAATATTCACAATGGCCTCTAGCACACTCTGCAATCCATGGTGACTTACAGAACCCACAATGGGTTGTATCATTCATTGAAACCAGCCCACTGCCTCATTTTTCACAATTGAGAAAACACAACCAGGCTGGTTATCTGCAAGGGGTGCCAGTTGTTGTACTATCCTCACAGTCAGAACCACCAGGTTTTTACACAGTTAAAGCAAACTGACAAGACTCTTACACACAAAGTGACCCACCTTGTAAGCTGCTAGGGTCCCCCCTCCCAACAATATGCCTATTTAAATAACAAAGACTAATGCATTGACACATAGGAGAACTCTTAGTGCTCCTAAATATTCACAATATCTTTAATCAAAATGAGAGTGGGAGCCTGGCTGCTCAGGGATGCCGCATTGTATGCACAGGGAAATGGGATCCAAAAACACAAATGTGCCAAGAGAAGTCCTAATACAGATTTCAAACTGATGAAGTGAAAAATAAGAGTTTGAGTGAGCCGCATGATTATTCAGGATGCTTCTTTTCAATTTAAATTATAGCCAGGCAACATCCCTACCCTACCCTACCCTTCCCAGCCCATTCCAATTAGTGGTTGAGGGTCCCCACGCTCTGTTTTCTTTCAGTTCCACAAGACAACTATTGACTGAGTTCAGACAGTGTGATAACCTACACTCTAAGGTTATGGACTGAGTGTGGGTAGTCAATGAAAAATGGCTTGTCGTTGAAATGTGGGTTCTTGTGTTATCTGAACCCAGCATAGGTCAGAGTTCACAGCCCAATAACAAACCATGAGAAATCTTCATGAATTGGTCATGATTAATAAGTCCAGTCCTAGAAACATAGAAACAGGTTGAGTCAGAAGGGGCCTCCCTAGTCTGACACCCAGCTCCAGCCAGCGCTGCTCATGACTTGGTCCAGCAAGGTTCAACAACAACCTATGGTTCAGTGACAACCCACATTCAACCTATACTCCACCCTTGAGTGTGGGTTATCAGGTGGTCTGAATTCAGGCATTGTATTATCTTTGCCAGGGAGGGAGGAGGAGGAGCCATGCAAACAGGTAACAAATAGGTAGTCTGGATTCCGGTTGCAAAGTTTGGGTTGGAAGAAAATAGACCCACAAAGTGGGAGGAACTAACTTGCTCATGTTCCAAGGAAATATGAGGTGGCTTGAATAATCACACAACTCATTCTGAACTGAAGTTCACTTTGGAAAACCAAAGCAAGTAACAGTTGCGTTGAATAGTATCCTCCAATGGCCTTTAATGAGGGTAAAGCCACCCCTGTTCCCATATCAGGAAGCAATATGTTGCTTTATTTGGTGAGTATTTGGAAATGTGAATTTTACTAGAGAAGCTGGGTGGTAAGGAAAAATGAATATATGTGAATAGGAGACAGTTTATGTTTTTTTGTGGGGGTGATAGAGCTTATATGTATTATACTGTGCACATGATAAGTGTTCAGAAAAATTTGTGAATGTGGCTTTATGAAGATGTATGCTTGGGACTGGACACTGGAATAGTGGAACATGTTATTTCTTCTGAAGTGTTTGAGTGGGAGTTAGAGAAAAATCCAAAGTGAATAAAGGGAATTTTGCAAACGTTCCTTGTAAGCCTCATTTCATGGCCTGTCAGACTTGAAACAGCATCCATTATCTTTAAAATTAAGACCTGCAAGTGTAAAAGCTTTTTGACTTTTTCCTGGGGGAAATGTTTAAATCTTGGAATAACTGCCTTCTTTCAGCATTGCCTCAAGTGTTCTTTTTCTCAATAAATTCACAACATATTATGGGGTCCAACAGAAAGCTGCAACTGAGGCAAAACTACATTGCCGAGTAAAGCAATGAACATATAATTGCATATATCCCCTTCCGTCCATCCCTTTCCCCATCAAGGCCATATTCTGAACCATCAGAAGGCCATACACAATAATTTATTATATTGTTATTGCAGTTTATAATGTGTTTTGGAGACTTCTGAGGGGCCTAAGTCCCCATTAACAAATTATTGTCTCAGGGCCTTCCTCTGAGGCAATGGGATGCTGCTGACATATTTAAGACTGCCAGGGTAATGAGAACAAGTCTTCTTATAACATCCCACACACTCTGTCTGTCTCTCTGTGTGCAACACCAGCTGTAATTATGACTCTTTCCCACCCACCCCCGCTCCATCCTGAAATGAAGCTTCCTTGCAACTACTAGCTTGGTCTGGTCCCAAGTCACTATCTAAGTGAGATCCTTGGTTTTCCACTAGGCACAATTCATCTGTCATCAACTCACTACTTGCCTATTTGTTATCACCCCCTGACACTGAAGCCTCAGGGTTTCTTTTATAAAGAGACATCTCCACACCAGCTTTTGTCCCTTCAGAAAGACACATCACTCACAGGAGAGGACTGGATCCTGAGGTGGATGCTCATGCAGAAGCACAGCAATCACCAAATGTAGTCTCCTTTCTAGTCCTTGGCAAGCAGGTTTCCACCCAGCAAGGATAACACCTGGTCCAGCAGGAGAAAGTGCCAGATCTTATACTGTAAGACAGTTCGTTCACAGGAAAGTCTCATTAGTAAATCTAGAATACTTGTAGCAAATGGTTCTGATCAGAAAGAGTTGCTCCTTTCCCTATATTTTGCAACATGAAATTGTAAAGTCTTATTCACGCACAGAACTTATTTCTCTCTTGAATGTTGTGATACTTTTTGGCCTCTGCTTCCCTTCTGGAGCAGTGAATTATACAGGCTAGATTTGGTCTTCTTCCACCATTTCACTCTAGTGGCTGGTCCTTTCTTCACAGGCTATTAAATCTTAGGGAACAACAAGTACTTCTTGTTCTATCTCCTCCTTTTGATTAATGTGCTGTATAGAATAGTACCATGTCCTACCTTATTGTCTCCTTTTTAGAACTCTCAGGTTCAAACAGTTTTGCCTTTCTATT